CCTACACCCGGCTCAGACCTTATAAATAGCCCTTTATTAAATCCTCCTCTAATGATCTAATTTGAATGTGCCATCTGTTTCTTATACAGACCCTGTCTGATACACCTACCGCACGTGTTGGTCTGTTCTAGGCCCTACACCGCATCTATTTTAAAGAGGTAGCAAAGTTAATAATACAATATGCGACGACGTTACGTAGTTATACTCAACGCTCACCTTTTCCCAAGGCTATAATCACAACTTAAAGATAAAACCTGATTCCTCTTTACAACATAATTGTGCAGTAGCGTTTGGATGAGCTAAATATAATTCAGAGAACAAGCTTTTTCATGCAATCAAAATTCATCTTCACAACTATAAAGAGAACTCCAGAACTGATGTCCCTGCCTTGAGGTTTAGCAGAAAACATTGCAGTATTTAAATCAACGAATATTCAAAAGCCTACTATGTGTCCAGCAACGTGATAATCTCACAGTGAGGAACCACAGAGACACAGGCTCCGACTTCGTGAAACTTGTTTTATGTAATAAATGTGCTCCTAAAAAGCTGAATGCACATTGCGTTTCCATAAATCAAACGATACCTTGTGTGATCATGGAGAGCTTACTATTTGAATAATAACCTTGTAAAATAATTACCCTTTGGTCTTTTGAAGCAATCAGATTTTTTCATCCTTCCAGTGTGCTTCAAATGAAATTTATCTTTAGTCTGTAGGGAGGCTCAGTCTCCTTCGGTGCTCCTGGAAGAGCAGAAACTGTGGAATGGAATTCAGAGGAAAGATAAGGGAATTACCATTTATAGATCACATACAAGATGCTAGCAATTTGCTTCTGTTAGCACAGTTAACCCTGAAAATAAATACGTAGTCTCTCATTCTCTTGTTTTCTATTTCTGAACATCTAAAACAACAACAACAAAAAATTAGTATGGCAGGTGTGGTGGAATTCAAAATCCGTTTTTTTGTTTTGTTTTTTTTTTTTTTTTGAATGAGAAAGCAAAGCAAAAGTACTATTCAATATAGGACTGTAAAGACTACATCACTCCCCAGCTTCAATGACTTCCCACTGCTTCTATGATCAAATCTAAAATTCTTCATATGGTCACCATTTCTGACACTATCGGAGCTCTTTCCCCCATGGGAGGTTTCTTTTTCTTTTCTTTTCTTTC